GTGAAGGACGAAAACATTACCATTGAGAATGGTGAAGAGCAAGTAATAATGGCCTTGTTCTGTGACGATTGTCATTATCTTTATACTTAAAAGTCTTTCTGTATTTTATTTAGCTAGCAATTGCGAGTAATGCATGAAATTTATTATTCTAGATAATAAGTAAAATGTGACAAATTTAAATAAGTTTTATTGATAAAGATAAAACTATTAAGTTTTTGTGTAACATTTCGGCAGTTTCATTAAGTATACACCATAACATGACAAACAACACCGGAATACAGTATGACATTTTTTCTGAATAAACTGAATGGAGAAGTGAAACATTTAAAAGGATTTACAATTTTGGCACCGAATTCGGCCCGCTAATGCATTTCTTCGTAAAAATAGATCTCCCTCTCAATTCGAAAACTGTCGTGAGGACTATTGTGCATGTGAATGACCTATGTTAATTTTATTTGTATTCAGAAAAATAAGAGTGGTTATTAATAGGTAGGATCTTTTGACACACAAGCCTAACCAAGATAGCTAAATAGTCTCCGGCAACACTCAGCATATGGTATCAACCCACAAAATAACCATTCTCGGAAATATTACACCACATTTTTTACTATAACGGCATATTTGCTGCGCGGTACCCTCTGGAAAGATTAAACTTTATTCATATTCGTTATTTTCCGTGCAATAATGCCTGACATTATGTTCCGATCTTCACGAGATATTTTTATTCAGCCAAAGTTGTCATGAAACTGCTAGCTTTTAAATAATATCTTTAATGTATCAGTTCAGCTTATGCGTGTTCTGCACTGGGCAATAAATTTAAAAAATATTATCTGAACTTGTATACAAATAAATCAATATATACTATATAAAAGTGAGAGTATGTATGCATTATTGTATTGTACGCATCTATTCTAATATACAGATTAACAAGTACGCATATATGTAAGTACGCATATATGTAAGTATGCATATATGTAAGTATGCATATATGTAAGTACGCATATATGTAAGTACGCATGTGTGTATGTAAGTACGCATGTGTGTATGTAAGTACGCATGTATGTATGTAAGTACGCATGTATGTATGTAAGTACGCATGTATGTACTCACGTATGTATATACGCACGTATGCATGCACGTATGTACGCACGTATGTATGCACGTATGCAACAGGACTCTGCAACCGTGCACATTGCTTCAGTTTCCTTGACGTATTACGTAACGCTACACGTATTACGTTAATATACATGTATGTAGAATACACATCTTCAAAATCATCAGGAATAAGAACTATTTACATAAGGCACCAGCCAGACCTCCAAGCCCGGCACGCCAGTGTGATAGAGCATAATCGAATCTCCACACTGGCCACATTTAATCGAATCTCCATACTGTCTTTCAGAATCCTCGACATGTAGTACACACCAGTGCCATTGGCAGCGTTGTTACTATTTTCTCAAGGTAACAACTTTATTTCAGGATTATAATCATGCATTTCGGTAGGGAGAGTCCTTTTCTCAGACGGCAACAGTCAACGGTCACCTTTCGCTGACAGCTGAGGGGGAATGTGAAATTCCCGATAATTTAATAATGTTGGCATTTGCGGAGTCATTTTGGCCTCCACCTTTAGGAAATCGCAAATCACGTAGCTAATCAAAAGTTGAGGTGGGGGGCGTTTGATATTTTTCTTTGATTTGGCGTGCGGAATTTAAAAAAAAGTCTCTTGGAAACTACAGCCCTTTTTAATTTCTCTAATTTCATTAATAAGTTTGATGAAATGCTTTTAGAGGTCGTCTGGAGGTTTGAAGGGAATTAAATGGGTTTGGGATGACGTTTGGAAGGAAGAAAAGTCTTGCCATAGATCAAGGTTCCTAGTGTGTGGAACGGTAGGAGAAAATGCAAGGAAAAGCAAGGAAAGGTCACGGGCGGTCCATTTCTTACGATACTACTCTTTGTTACAATATCAAACGAGTAGCCTAGTACTGATCGAAGAAACCACGAAAAACTACTGATCAGGGCGGACGACTGGTAGAATTGTCCTCCAGACAGCGGCTGAATTCTACCTAGCTACGTAGTACAATGATCGTAAAATCTCTCTCCATCGGAACCAGGCAGAGTCGCTACAAGGACAGCAGCAATGATGGCTCTGAACTAAAATAACCGCCCGCCCGCAAGAGCACCGCTACTGAACGTCTACGTCTTGTGACACGGACACACCTTGCGAGGAAGCGCCGGCGAGCGAGGACGTAGGCACCGGCGAGCGGCAGCAGGCGCTTTGCGGACGGCGCTGGCAGCACGCTCCGCCCCCGCCACCTCCTCCTCCTCCGCTTCTCACCGCTCCGCCGCCTCCGCAGCAGGGTTTCGCGCTGCGCCTGCGCTCCGCCTGCGCGCTATGCGCCCGCCCGCGCTCCTGCTCCGCCATGGCCTTTGGACGGGGCGGGGGCGGCGCAGCGGGAGAGACACGAGTTACTGAGGTTTGAGCGGCATGGGGGGAAAGGCCCGGTGTTGGGGGCTCTCGGGAGGTTTGACGTTGCCGGGCAACCGGCGAAGCCTTGCGTTCAATTGTTCCGACGACATCCTCTATTGTCGCTGACTGAGCAGCGCTGCTGAGCTTTAGATGGATAACAAATATTGAGGTCCATGAAGTGGCCACCCCCATTTTCTCGAAAATTGAAATGACATACACCAAAGTTTTGCCCACGTTTTGCCCAAATTTGCTTAACCTTTGAAAAGTTTTGCCTAAGTAATACAAAGTCGGAAATCGCAAATCAAATTTTGGACTTTAAAGTGACTAACAACCCCACTTGCGAATTTCTAAATTTTGAACACCCCATCATCTAGTTTTGCCCATTTATTCGCGACACAGTTGAGTTTTCTCCCCTCGCACGGACTCTCTTTCAAGGTCATCGTTCATTTCACGTTTTGTGTTTCTATACGTAACTTTTTGCCACGCGTTAGTTTTTTATTTTTATCATTAGTCATCTACTTGCACTGTTTAATTGAAATTCATTTGAATTATTGGCTTGAATTTCACTTACAGTAGCTGTTTGCTTCATTTGTTGAGGCTGCTGTTGCTGATGATGTTGTTGTGAGAGCTTTTGTTCAAAATGTAGTATTTGCTGCTGTTGCCGTTGTATTGTTTTTGCTGTTCCATTAACTGCTGCTGCTGGAACTTCATTTGTTGGTTTGTGGAAACTTCATTGAATTGATCCAAGGTTACGGTCACTAAGGTCATCACTTGAATATTCGTTATCACTTATATTTACTTTAAATCACCACTTGTTTGGATATTTAGTAGATATCACAGTTATTGGTACATTTTAACACAGTTTATAACTAAACTAAACGAATAAACAACAGTACGTTATGTTACGAACGTGGTACACTGCGAAGTTTGCTTCGAATTGCGAGTTGCTTTCCACTGAACTGCTCGGGTCGCTGTCTCGAGCCAGACTAACTACAAAATTAGATACAGATTTTCCCTTCAGATGAAATTGTTTCTGCATACTTGGTAATTTCAATAAGGTCATGTACATTTTTTGAAACTTTTACTAGTTTTCTTGAATATTACGTGAAATATGTGCAATTAAAAAAATTACAAAAACAAGATTTTCTCAAAAACAACTCCAATTTTTTTCTTTGAACTTTTCGTGCTCACGCTCAACCTCAAACATTTTCTGTGGAATGAGCTTAACAGTAACGTTTAAATGCCATTTTCTTAAAAACGGCTTCAAATTTTTCAATAAAAATAGCCATTTAGGACGACGTTTTATTTTTCTGTAATTTTTATTAAAGTAATAATTCGGTTCTACAATGAGGAAATCGAAAAAGTGAGAAAATTTTTAAAAACATTTAGACTTTGGGTGGCGATAGAAGCAGCTAGGATGAGTATGTGGTAAGTCCGAATAGCTAGCCCAGACCAAAGAAAATATAAAACTTTACTACAAGGAAGTCTGTGCCATTCTGAACATTGAACAAGTAGTTATAAATTTGTGCTATGTACATATATTGCACACTGCCCTTACTCACCGAAAGATTCCCCTCAAAAGCCCTTAACAACCTCTCCCCTCTACCGTGGATTCTCCCTCGCCTGAATGGCGTGAAGCGCCAGTCAGTTCAAACGACTTACCCAAGTTATTGGGTAAGAGGTAAGGTCATCAGAAGAAACAGTCTCGCTATCTTCCTAATTGCAAATAGGCGTGAAAAGGATCGAAAACATGAATATTGCATTTTTGTTCATAAATGACAAACTCGTACTACTCACCAACTTCAGATTTAGTACCACATAGTTTTACATGCCCAAATTCTTGTCAGGGGTGAATAAATACCAATATTTCTTTGGCGAGTGTGATTCACGGTAGTGGTACCGTAGAGGAAAGACTTTCCTCTACGATTTTACGTCAGCTGAAGAAATATTAATTTCATAGGGGATTAGAGAAGAATTTCTCCTTAGATGACATTTTATCCACATTCTCAGTGTTAATGAACCAAAAGGATGGGCAATGAATTGCCAAAGGTGGTTCTAAGGGGACAAGAGGGAGAAATGCCCTCACCTATATTCTTCAGTTGAAAGCCACCATTGCGCGTTATAGAATCAACTCTTAGAGATTGGTATCTAGCTCAAAGCCCTCCTCTAAGAAATAGTTGTCAACATCACGAGAGCTTTCAACTGATGGAGATGGAAGGGTCATGGTTTAAAATGTTGGAGAATATGGTGCTGAAGAGCAACTTTACAATTACATACAATACTTGGATTCAGCATGATCTGCATCTACGAACTTCTCCAATTCCAGGAAATTTAATTTCATTCATGAAAACTGTTAAAAATGTAGAATGAAATGTATTGAGGTTCTATCAATTACAATTTGTGACAATCATGAAACCTGAAATATACAATTATGGAAAAAAAACAAAAACAATATTATATCTATTAATGCATTCAATAAAAAGGCCATGCCAAATGAAGGAAAAGAGTATTTTCAAAAAGTTCATACACACAGTTAAATAACAGAATAGTTTTTATTACAATAAATAGTTTTCACAACAAGAAAGTTTTATTATAAAAAAAGAGTTCAGGTAAGTCTTAAAATTAGTCACTTATGGGGCAGGAATTTAAATGCACATTTTCCAGCACGGTCATGTCTGTCCAATCTTTCCTTTGCCGCCCAATTACTATATTACGAATGCAGCCTTTGAAATACTCTCTTGTTATTAAGGTTCCACCTGTTGAATTTTCTGAAAATATAAAATAAATAATTATATACAAAACGGTTAATTTATTGGAATATACTGGAACTATTTCATTTATTTATATGTCATTAATATTTATATGTCTTTAATATTTGTCATTAAAATAACTGTACTTACTAATTACAAATAAAATTCATATGAAACATGCTTGCTTTAGCTTGTCTCTTTGGAAAAGAGATCCCTCTCAAGAGGAACAAGGTTTTTTGAACAAGGACTTCATAAATAAACTTGAAGAATTTATATATATTATAAATAGGTTATTATAAGTAGGGGTCTTTCCTTTTGCTTACTTAATAGAATATTTTACTCAGTTTTCATACCTGGTACTCCGCCTATATACAAAGAACTGCCAGTGTGACTGATAACTGCTGCACCATTGTAAGACAGGCCTGTCACATTTGGTAGATTATCCACTTTCAAAAACAGGCCACTGGTCAAAAAGGTTGCATGAATAGTATGCCACTTGTTATCACACAACGTATACTTTGATTGAAAATTCTGTTCAACTTGAACTGGTTTGCCATCTCCAGAATCACATCGTACTATAACCTGCAATAAAAACAGGCTTTACAGTAATTTAATGTGCTTTATTGCCACCCACATTATGATACACTGCCAAGAATCTGATAGATGTTGCCACTATAATGCCAACAATCAAATCTTTCAAATCATGTATTGAAATAAATGAAGAACTTGTTTTACCCTGTGTCTAAATATACTCCTTGTTTCTAAACACATTCTCATATCAAGGTTTGTAGTAACAGACAGTTTATACTAGATTTTGGTTACATTTCAAAGTTAAAATATATTTAAGGATTTTCTGAAATGTAATAAAGGTAACTTTTTCAACCTAAAAAGAATTGAGAAGACAAAAAATTGCCAAGCCTTCAAGAGTAAATTTCCATTGCCAAAACCTGTAAAATGTTTTTGATTTGGTGACAAATAGCCAATACTGGCAACACTGAACAATAATTCCTTTCATTTATTCAGACTATTAAAATTAAAATATATGTTGAACTTTTAATATGTTGTATTTCATTTAATGAAAGTCATTAATTTAATATTCATCAGAAATAAAATTAAAAAACAAATTACTTTGCCCTATTTAATGAGGGTCAACTAATGTACTTGCCTTGCCATTATTCAGTTCCAGAGAAATAGCAGGAACCCCTGATTGTTCTGCTACACTCAGCAAAATACCCGTTAGTTCCGAAGTTCTAAACTCAAGCTCTAACTCTTGTAAACTTCTGACTTGAAATTGATTATCTGAAACAAAATTATTTTTTTAAACAGAATTCAGTTATGCCAATAAATGTGAGTGAAAACTCATTAGAATCATAATCAGCTTCTGTGTAATATCCATAAGTACGAAAATCTGATAAAATAAAAATTAAATTTGTCGGGGCAATACTAACAATAAGAAAGCAGGTTGGATGCCTTAAAATTAGTACTAACCATATAATGCATAAGCATCTCCTGGGAAATAAGCCCCTCTCTCAACTGCTGGATAACATTGGCGAACATTCTTTGTTTGTGAATTGTGCCCTACCAAGGGCTCAGTTACTTTGTTTATGGTGAGAGGTCGTACACATCCTTTGAAGGTCTCCACCGGTATCTATTGAAATATAAATGCTGACTTAGTGATTAAGTTAATTATACTTGATAATGTTTGCTTTTAATCAACTAATATCTTATTTGTAGTGATTACATAATGACATTATTTAGTACCTACAGATTTGAACATTGAGAAAAGAATTCCATAATATATGAAAATTGTATTAAACCTACATACCTTACCTACTGGGTTTGGCTACTTAGTTTTGTAGGCAATGTAACACATTGTGATCCATTTCCTACAAAACTAAGTAGCCCAAAGAATATTACAGAAAAATATTGCCATTTCTTTGTACTTACTTTGGGTGAGAAAGTGGCACTGGGTGGCAACCCTCCAATGTAGAACACTGATCCCAAGCTAAACTTTTTTGGTAGTTTGCTATGGCCTGCCGGACTTTGATTAATTAAAATATTGAGGTTTCTGTTCACCCGTTTTAGTAATACATTATGCCACATTCCATCATTTAGCTCTGATTGTCCAATAATTTTGTTTACTTTTTTCCTGCCCTTCAATTCAACATATAGGTGCTTGTTGTGTAAAGCAATCATAAAATGACTTTCTTTCTTTCGTTGTACCTGCAAAAAGAAATATTTTTTTCTTAAGGATTTTAATGGCTTTATTAAGCAAGTTAAATATAAACAACTATAACCCATTGCTCTAAAATCTTTAATTCTTAAAAGCAAAAGTATAAGTCTGAGGAGAATTGATCAATCTCTGGTAGTTTTTGTTACTTTCTGCAATACCTTATTAAGATTTCTAATAATGGTAATAAATTAAACAGAACCTTCAGTTTTGAACATGAAGAAAAGAAATCCATGATATATGAAAATTGTAATTGAGCCTACATACCTTACCTACTGGGTGTCCTGGATATTGCAAAGAAAGCAAAAGAGTTGAATCAGAATTAATCCACTAAAAATACTAGTCAGAAAATATTCTTTGATATTTTTAAAAATATTTAAAATGAATATTTTTATTCATTATTAAAAATTACATAACACTACAAATACTCTATCAAATAATGTTAGTATCCATATACTCATAATGAGGAAGAGAAAATTATCTTGGCTGTCCAAATGATAACATCAATGATTTCCTAATGTTTTGTGCTCTATTAGACTGTCACAGGGAACAGTCAAGCAAACTTTAAGGGATAAAGCACTCAATGCAGTACTAAACAATTAAGATTATCATGTCTGAGAATAGAAATTTATTGAGTTCAAGAAACATATTTTCATACCGGAACAATGAAGAGAAGGCCATTAGGGTAATAAGTACGGAAACTGAATTCAATCGTGAAATTCTTCTGTAAAGGGTTGGCTCTTCGAGTCATTCGCACATAGCTTTCAGGAGAATCTCCGAACTTGACTGCATGTGGTTCAACTGCATAATGAGAAACCTTGTGGCATTGAGTTGGCAGTGTTGGTGCTGGTGGTTTAAATGAAATCTCTCTAGTTTCTCCAAGCTCCCAAGGTCCAAGGCGACCAATATCTGCATGGTGAAATGACACCTGATCTTCAAAACGTAGTGACCTGCAAATATTAAAATAAGACAGAAGATTATATAATATTTCAAAGCATACATAAGGATATTATTTTGTTTTTGTGTTCTGTTTTCCTTAGACATTTCCTTTCCAAACAACCTTTCTAACAATATAAAATAGCGACAATTGCATACATAATAATGCTGTGCTTAAATTATGTGAAGTAGGAAAACAACTATAGCATGTTTTAGAATTGAGAAGAAGGCTCTTCAGGAAAGATTGACGTACATTGCTTAAATGTAATTTTAGGAAAAATGCCGAATTTTACCTAAAAGCAAACATTGATGACTTAGAAATACAAAAAGCACTACAAGAAAAAATTGCTTTTAGTCTTTCCATTCAGCAATTACTTATGTGGCAAATTCATTGATAAATACAGTCAAGATAGAGTCAAAAGATTAAATTTATGTTCAAAATTATTTTTAACTTATAGTATCTTGTACCTTTCTTGTAATGATTGTTTGTCCCTGAGAAAAAATGGTAATGTACACTTTTATGTCATGTTTGAAAATTCAAATTTAATAATAATATATGAGCAAAGAAGCCATTTTTTCAGATAATGTTTTAAAGTCTATTTGTTTGAAATTGATGTATTGCTTTTGTAATTATGCAAAAATTACTAGAATATTGAAAAAACAGTACATGAAATCATTTACATTACTAGTACTAATGAATGCATTGCAGTAAGAAAAAATCTCAATGAAGAGGTTTGAAAAAAAATTTCAAATTTTGCAATCTTTGGAAATTTTTTCTTCAATCTTTATGCTAAGATATCCCTTAAACATTAATTTTCTTGAAATATTATTTATTTTGAGTGAAGTTGATGTGTTAAAATCCACACAAAATAACAATAGGCCCCTACTTATTGCACAACCATCTATACATAGCATGTACGTGATTGATTTATGAGCATGTCAGGAAAAGTTCTCGCTTAAGTGTGAACGGCCTCAGCATTTGCACATCTCGTGTTAACAAAAAATGTCTGTTAGAAGGCATAGCAACTTTAATTTCAAAAAGGTGCCTAGAATGCAATTTTATGGCCCAACACTTTTTTTTTATATTCTTTTAAGTACCATAAATAAAGGATGAAATTTATAGAATTTCTTTTATAAAAAAACAACAACATAGTAGCCTTTTCTATATTGAAGATTTAGCTAGTTTTCAGAGGCAAACATGAAGTTTCCATGTTACCAATTACCTCCTTTTATTTTAATCTGTTAAAAGCTTTGCATCTCCTAAACATCTGAATTTAAAATGACAAACATATTATTTGATGAAACTTGTTACAGTAAATCAATAAATGAATATATTAACTAAATACCAAGGAAAGAGAGTGAAAAATAATGTATTCTATCTCAAATAGAAAATTAAATAGGGTTGTTATACATCTTATTCTGACTTACTGATTATTGAAGATGGCATGCTTTATGGTGCCCACCAAAGATATGTAACTGGCTGCCTCTGGCTCATTTGGCACTTCTGTTGGATCTCCTCCAAAGAACAGTCCTCCTTTCCTAACTTTTCTTGGATCACTTGGACTAGCTACACGTACTTGATAATCACTGGCTTGCATCACAAATGTACCATGATCTTCTTCATCTATTCTTAATGTTAGCTTTCGATTTTTCTTTGTAACAGACAATGAATGGAACTGACCATCATTGAATTGTTTCTTTGATTGATGTATTGTTCTAGTGTCTCCATTTGACACCCACACAACAACTTTGCCACTATGGAGAGCAACAGAATAATAATCACCTTTTTCGTACCCTTTGGTTAACATAAGAAGTGCATCTTTTTGCCGACTTCGGAACACAAATTCGAAAGAAGATTCCTTTTTCTTAAGGGGATGCGGTGGAAGTTCTAAGAAACCTCGTCCTCGGAAACTCACAGTGGTATAAGAAACTGTACATGAGGCTTCTACTCCATAAAATTTGCCTGACAATGGATTGACACCACCACTGAAGAGCTGAATATCTGACATACAGCCTAGAAAATGTGGTGGAAGGACTAGAAGATTTGTGTTCAACAGAAATCCTGGAGGAACACCACCTAAGAAATATTCTTCTAACTCAGGAATATCATCTGTTGTTGGAGGTTCTGAAGGAGAACTTTGTTTAGACTCCCCATCTATACTCAAAAGTGCTGCAAGAAGAGAAACAAATGAAGTAGGATGAACACATCTATAATAATGCATTTGCCTCGTTATTTCTTAGATTATAAGTATGATTCCATACCGCTTTCTAGCCGTCGTTCAACTTCAAAAACACGTACTGCTTCACAGCTCACCCAAGTTCCTGTATTAACTTTCGTTATAGTTTTTAATTGCAATCCTATTTTTCTTCCATATCCAATGTGAAATACTAAGTATCCATTTTCCAGAAGCAATGCTATGAAACGGGTCTGAATAAAAAATAATTTTAAAAATTAGCACCTATTATGAATTACATAATATGAAATAATAAAACCATTTCTTAACTAAATGAAAAACAGTTCTTACCCTGTGTTTATCAACAGCAATAAATAAAATGGCATTCTCATCCAATGTTTTGAATTTGAGAGTAATACTGAACTGATATTTGTCAGATATATCATAACTATTTACTGTGTGCATTGAGTAACCATCTCCTGCGAAATGGTAAGCACTTTCATCTCGTGTCTCCTCCACTCTGAAATAAGGAGACAAGAGTGAAAAATTAAATTTTTCTAATTTAACCACCCAAGCTTTTCATTACACAACTGTCTGGTTAATATCAATATCCTGTTGTTCACCTCCAGCCAGTTCAGACAAATATCCACTGACTCTGTTAAATCGCCCATTTATATTATAGACATAAAAAATTGAATTTTTTATAAACATTTTTGTTATATTCCGGTATCTTATTTCTTCTCTAGAAATCAAGAATTAAAAGACTATTAAAATACTTTAAACTCAATCCTTTAATTAATTAAGTTGAAGGTTGCAATTAAAACATTTCAATTTGTTAAACAACATTTCTTGAATTTATCTTTTCCCATATTCAGGTTTCGTAATCAGTTTGCAAAGTTTAAAAGTACAAAAGAAAAAACAAACATAAATACCATTCTATGGTATTATGAACATTTTAAGAGAAACAATACATATAAAATATAAAAATAAACAGTGAAAAACAAAATTGGCATAGATGCTGACAATTCTTGTGTCTATTTTATTATTTACCAGATAAGTTTCTGTGTCTTGTACCTTGTACTTGTTTTAAAGTGTTTTAATATTTTTATCTATTTCAGTTTTGTCTTTCAATAAATAATTTTACATTTTATACTCATTGTTTCTCTTCAAGTATCATTGAATGTAGTAAGAAACCAAGATTGGCTATTAACACCAAAATTACTACATGCTATTTAATGAGAAAATAAGATCTAATTAAATATTTTCAGGAATTCTTATACAAGTAGCAATACTATCAACACATTCTTAAAGGATGTATGTATCTAATCTAAACCTACTTATCCTCTGAAAAAATCCCTCAAAACATTTAATTAAATAATAGTTTCTAAATAAACAGCATACATGTGATGTTAATATCTTTGGTAATTGCAGTCTTCAAATTACATTTCTCATTATTTATAGGAATGCTCACCCTGCTATACATGCTGTGCAACTGTTCTTGGTTTCTGTGGCAAAATTCCATAGCCCAATTGGCCTTCCATCCAACATAATGCGATGAAGACAACCTGCTAATCCTTTACTAGGAGCCAGTAACTGTGGAGGAGCTGTGGCCCCTGGAGGCAAACCTCCAATCCAAAGCCTGTCTCCAGGTCGAACGTCCACTATTCCAAAACCAGGCTTTGAGCTGTTTGAGACTGGATCACCTGAGGCATGTGGTGAACCTTCTGGTAGAATCTGCTGTCTCACAGAAAGCCGTGCAATATTGCTGGTTCTGGAAGAAATAAACATCCAAATTATTGCTTATTTGATACAAATTCATTCACATATTCAATTTGTATTCATCAATCTAACTTCAGCATATGATACGGTTTCTCATCAGCTAGTGTTAAAGACATCTTAAGTGTGACTTATGATTTTAAATTCACTCACACAATTTTGAACCTATACAGAAGAGATTACTATTCTTTGTAGATTTCAGGGATAATGAAGTTGAAGGAGGCACTAGAAGAATTGACTTAATCAACACAAAATATTTACCTATACTTGAAGGCAAGATTATTTACATAAATGACCATGTTATCACAGTAGTTGGACTTTTTGAGGATGGACTAACTGCAGCTTTGAAGTCACTTTCTAGCTACTATTTACACAATTAGCTCAAGTCAAACTCCACAAATATTGAAATTAGTGTCTTCTAGCTGAAGATCAGGCAGGGATGCAGAAATCTGCATGTAAAATGGCAATGTGTTCAATTGGAAAACATTTGAATTCAAAGTACCTCAGATCCTAATCTTGCCTGAATCATAAGCAAAAGGTGGTGGCCAGAAATAATATTAAAAGGAAACTGGTGGGGACTAGCTGGAGAGAGCAGATGAAGACCACGATATCATCGACCCTGACTATGTCTGCCCTATTGGTTATCAATCATGCCATGCTAAATCTAAAGAGACATATCTAAATACTATATTCCTACAGGATATCTGAATGCTAAACCTATTGATAAACTATATTGTCTCTCTGATATTGCTACAGCAAAAATAATATTTCAAGAAAGAAATGGCAATCTGCTATTTTGCAACACTGCCTTCAACATGGTTGTTGGTCAGTTTGCCAACCAGTCCAGAGGAATTTTATGTGCAGAGAAAGCAGACCTTATGAAATCACTTGAAGAAACAAGACTTAAAATGTGGTGACAAAGAACTAACCATCTCAATCATTGCTTGGCAGAAGCAGAGAAACTTCCTAATGAAGAAGATTGGGTAACCTGAAAGTTTCTGAATAAATTGCAGAATAATGAGATGCAAACAACTTGAAGAGAGAGTGTCACAACATAGTAATATGTAAAACTGGCAGTGACTCCACTAATGATAATTTCATAACATGCAGATAATGCCCATGTACTTGTAATATGGAGGACTTCATTTTGGCAGAACCTAACAGTATGATGTTGTAAGCCATTGATCAAAACTTGGTAATTTTGGAGTGTGTGTATAGATATGGGTATTTATGTAGGTATGAGTATGTATGAATGTATATGTACACATAAATGTACATCTGTGCATGTGTGTGCATTTGTGTACTATATGTGTGTATGTGTTGTGTCTTCTTGGATCAATTAATTCATTTATAGATGCCTGACTTACAATTTCCAGTCTTTTAAAGCAAACAGAAAAACCCAAATTAACTGAATTGGAAAAGAGAATTTTCCCAGGACATTCTTAGCATTTGTTTAGATTTTGCTGTACATCACTGCCTGGAGAATTTGCACACTGGTATAGCAAATCAAATTATTACAAAAGGGAGCTAATTAAAACTTAAAATGTTGTTAACACATAACTAATTATAATTCATTACATTTTGTGCATCATGTTGTAAAATTTCTGAGGCCCTTGGTATGCAGCAATTGGGTTTCAGATCCAGTTGCAATATTATTATTACATTGGTTTCAACAACTTATATATTCTTATTATATAATATTAATTATATAAATTAATACTATTCTTATTACAACTTCAGAGAATCTTTCTATTTCTGAATCAATATACTCTTTCTCAATGATGAAGTAATATTTGACTTCTAAAAACTGAATTTTAAATCTGAAATATTTTTACCCCAAAATACCTATCTCATTCATTAAATATGTTATTAATGTTGTAAAATCCAGTCTCATTTGTCTTCAAAATTTACCTTTCAACTTGGATACGATACCAGTTTTTGTCCTCACGTAACACAGCTTTTTCTATCTTCTGAGGATGCACCACAACGCCGACACCACCGCCAGCATTCCACACAAATCGAATGGTTCTATTTACCATCTCCAAAGCCATAAATTCTTGCTACATGTAAATACACAAATTAAAAATATTTGATGACCAATTTATGTTTGTTTGTGAATAAGGTAAATAATTGAGAGCTAGGGAACTGAACTGGCAAAATTCTGGAATAACTTATAGCCTTAAATTTTTATAAAACTTTCAGGTATACTACAAGTAGAGGGACCAAGATGAAATAACAGAATGAAAATCAACATGAATAATTTCTATGAATAAAACAACTTACGGTATCATTGTTTGCCAGATAGAACAATGAAGCATCTCTCTCATCAGTATGAACTGCATAATTGAGTATGATGGAATTTGTTGTACTTGGTGTCAGGTTATGAAGTCTATATGATCGAACACAACCACCCATTGCTCCAGATGTCAAAGACAAATGTATCTGAAATGTTTGAAAGAACATTCTATTTTTTGAAATAATTATGTTCATGTTCATTATTACCATGAAATTTCATATTAAATGTAATTTCGGATCATGAATTACTAACCCCTTCTGCAGTGTGCCTAGCTTGAGTTATTTTACTGCGGAGTTCTTGAAGTTTGGAAGCCATTGTATTGTTCCACTTATTGAAATTTTGCTTTTCATCATTAGATCTTTGATTCATTTTTTCAAGGAGTTCTTTTATTTTAGCAATGTTCTTTTGAGCAGCTATCACTAGAAAAAGGAAAAGTTACTGTTACTCTTTAGGCTTCCAGCAACAACAACAACAACAACAACAACAACAACAACAACACAAAAACATCAACAACAAAAACATCAACAACAAAAACAACTACAACAACAACAAAAGGAGAAAGAAAGAAAGAAAGAACAACAAGAAGAGGGAAATAAATATATAGAGATAACGTTACATACATTTTTCAGTGTGACTGGCAATAAGATCATCTTCACTAAGAGTAGCTAACAATGGCCGAAGTTTACTTTTGACATCACTGCTTACTCTGGCTGCAGTGGCATTAGTCTGTCGACTTAATTTTAGAGCTGATTCAGCTCTCATCATGGCTTCTGCTGCATATTTTTGTACTTGATCATCAGAAAAAATACAGAAAAAACACCACTAATATCAGATAAACATGCCACAAATAAATCAAATGCTGACAACTAGAATAAATAAAGAGATAGTTGTTCAAATCATGCTTTTTTATTGTACTCACTTTCACCACTGTTCAATTTTTTCAGTTCTTGAAGTACACGTTTATTTCCATGCTCAGCATTCATGATTGTATCCCTAACTCCATTAATTTTTGCTTTGGCATTAGCATAATCATCTTTTACATTGTTCACCCTTAAAAGTTCTTCTTCAGCTTTCTTTAACAAGGTATCTGATTTTTCTCCAACGTCTCGTGAGAGTTTTAATACTGAAGTTTCAATTGAACCAGGATAGGCCTTCAGTGAAGCAAAATTCAGTTATTGATTTATTGACGAAAATATTTTTGTTTTAAGTTCACAATAATATTTAAACCACTCTACTTACAGTTTTGAATGCAATATCTCCTGCAAAACTAGCATTCATAGCAGATTCTTTTGCAGTGTTGATTGCATCTACTATTCCTTGATATGCTCTACTCGCTCGCAGAGCAAAATCTGCTTCCTTTCTGGTAGAGTTGAACAAGCTAAGAGACAAAGAGTAATAAGCACTTTATAAATCTGGGTATAAGAATATTGGGTAGTTTACAAATTATAGTGTTTCAAGATAATTTGTTACGTTTATTTAATTATGATGTCTACTCACTCCCGATATTGCTGAGCTCTTTCATATAACAAATCTGCATGTTGTTGGGCTTTAAGAACATATTGATCATGATAAATAGGATTTATTCTGTACAAAATTCCTTCTTTTTCCTTGACTTGCTGTGTGAGATTTGCAAAGGATCGCATATTATCTTCAAGTATCTGAAAAATTGAGAGAAATTATTAATTTTTTAGTATTTAGAATAATAATAATTTTGATAAATATTTAACAATAGTAAGTTGCCCCATGGTGACTACGAATTTTCAAAATAATTTCTTTAAAAAATGTTTCACAGAATGAAAGTAAAAGATTTTTCATCATGGTTCTCTTAAATAATTACATATTACAAATTCAAAACAAATGTAATAAGCAGAGCAATTTTTGACACACTAGAAAACTTACCCTCATGTTTGTTGTGGCATTTTCCAGAAATGATCTTGCATTTTCAACGAGAATTTTTGCTTCATCAGAAAGAATCTCTACTTCTCCTTCAAAATCTAATATTTGATCAATATTCATCTTTGTACTTTTCAGAATTTCTTTGTTGTGGTTAGTTAGAGATTTGGTCTAATGAAGGGAGAAAAAATGAAAAGCTGAGTATCTTTATTTTAAATAAATATTAGATAGATTTTAAGTAAACACATCTTTCAAGTGGAGTAAATAAGATTCGATATTAATATGAATAAATGAATGAAATTAAAAAGGTCTTAAGTATTATTAGTATTCTGGATTTATATTTAACATTATGTGAATGAAGAATGAATAAATAATTATTTAATTCTGAAAATATTGTATTAACGTGATATTATTAATAATTATTATTGATAATATTGTATTAACTAGATATTATGTAAAATATCAATGAAAGGATGTCCATGTTTGAAGAAACTGGAATGTTGCTGTGCATTTGGGAATTCATATTAAAAATTTATTATACAAATCAATAATTATTTTTCGGTACAAAAAAATATTTAAAAGAAAAATTTTTTTATGCATTTAACTCAATTTACCTTGGCAAGGACTTCTGAAGTACCATGCAATGACTCAAGAAGGCTATCAAGGCGAGATGTCAGCATTTCTAAACCCTGACGTAGTGGTCCCACTTCAGGTCCTCCTTCCAGTAATTTGCGAATCCTGTCCAAAATATCTTCAGATTTCCTAAAAAATAGTTGCAGATTATTTAATATATTCTACAACTGATGAAAACCTTCATAAAGTGAGATGAAATATGAAGGCATTTTTAGATAAATGATATTCATTCAAGAACATTTAAGAATTTTTTTTATAACTGAAATATTAAAAAACAAATTGTGAAAAAAGTATTTAATATTATTTTTTATTATTAAATATTTGTGATTTTCATTCTTTAATTTCTATGAATTTTTAATTTTGCATAACCAAATAATGTTTGAATACTTTACAAAAATGAAATACACTTATAGAATATTTTATTCTCAAGGGTTTTTACTTGATGTAATGATGATTTCTCAAAACCTAAAATCATGATGTACTATTAATTATACATACCTTAATGCATTCATTGCAGCAATTTTCATGGAGTTTATTGTTCCATTTCTTCTTCTGATCTCACTGGCCAGATGCTGCGCCTCTCGCAATGCATTCTCAACACTTACTTCACCAGCTCCAACCTGGCCATAGTTCTTCAACCCCTGGACAACATCTGTTCTCAGACGTTGAACACAAATAAATGTAATGTTCATAGAAAAATGTAAGTCAGAGCAGATTATGTATGTATTAATCATGGCCATGAACATTAAACTTCTCTAATATACATTTGAAAATTGTAATAGTAATTTATTGTACAAAAAAAAGTTAAATAACATTTTATTCACAAGTGAGAAAGTGTAACACTCATGGTGACAGCAGGAGCCAAGGGGGCTTATTCTCACAAGTTAGTTCAATCTTTTTCACCTCAAGTGCCTTACATTATCCATTGCTAACATGAAAATTAGATAGTTTAAATTAAATATTAAAATATTGCATATTGTCTGTTCAGATGGAATATGTCTTTTGTTCTTATTTAGAAATTGAATAAATGTGGGGATGAAGAATTTAAGAGCTGGTGTAGTCGATAGGTTGCCAGAGCTAATGACAGAGTCTATAGCATTGCAAAGGACCGAGTCATGGCATCTATGAGCAAGTGGTGGGCAACCAGAAATGCAGGAACTGAGAAAGGAAACATTTAAAAGTTGAATCTTGGAAGAGAGAGGATTGATAGATCATATTAAATTCATTTCTGTCATCTGCTCTAGTGAGTTTTCTAGTTACGAAATCATCATTCATTTTAAAAAGGACTTTTATTTAATTCAATCCCACATACACTTTTCTAAATTGTTTTAGAAGTAAAATACAATTATCAACAATGGAATATTTTTTGTAAATTTACTAGTTGATGAAACCAATGTTTATGATGCCAAGAAAAATGATAAAGTATGCTTGTAAAATTGTAAAGTTTGAAAGTAAAATTGATTAAGTATTTACTTCAGTTAAGTGTTATCAGAATAGGTATGATAATGACATCATATTTTGAGAATGTATACAACCATGATAGGAAAATATTTTTGCTTACCATTTGTGTCCTTTTGTAACCTAATAATTTCATCCAACAAGCGATGAGCTTCATTTTTCACTGCAAAACTATTTTCTACATTTTTGTCACCAAATTTGATGAGCTTTTTTGCCTATGTTCAGAAGAAAAAAATTTATTTCAAATAACTTTGGCTTTAATTACAATTAATAATTATCATCATCTGTGGGGATTACCTTGTTGAGAAGCAGTTTTGCTTTTCTTTTGAGTTCCTCGACCACTGATACTGGGAAACCTTCCACTTCACTGACAGTATTTAGCCATTCTTGTAAACGTTCTTCAAGACGTACTGCACCATCTCTGATATCATATAGAGTTTGCCATGGTGGAGGTATGGATCCTTCCATTATATGATGGGTATTCTGTGCAAGTTTAGATGCCAGAGTTTCAATTTCATTTAGAAGAACTCCTGTACAGCTGTCATTACAGGCTGAAAAAATGATACGGAAGTAGAACCAAGTATAAGAGAGAAGAAACAGAAATTCAACAATTGAAATAAATAGAAAATTTAATATCAGATTTAAAAATTGGAGAAACTAAAATATTATTCCATGAAATGTAGTTTATTTTTATAATATTTCATTTTTTTCTACTTTCAAAATATTGTTCAGGTTCACATTTTAATATTATGAATTGAGAATAGCGAAGGTTAAAGATACTGAGAAAAAGAGAAGTCAATTAATTGTTTTCATAATTTTGAAGAAGAAAGAAACACACAATTATCATTATACAAATTTTAAATAAAATTAATGGTAACTTCTTTTAGAATCAGAGACTTTTTTATGAAATTGAAACTTACATTGACAGCCATATTCTGTAAGAACATGCCTGTCTTGACAGTAGCTGCAGTCACGACCAGTAATTCCAACTCGACAGTTACATTGTCCTGTTTCTTCATCACACTCATCACTGACACTACCATATGGATTACATTTACAAGGAGTGCAACTTCCTCCTTCTTCTCTGGGGAAACCAAACCATCCATAGGCACACCTACAAAAAAGGAAACAGAGCCAAATGATAGTTAAATAAATTGGATGGTCAACACAGACTAATTTTGTTGTTGTTTGTAAATAAGTTTCATAAACATAATTTAATTTTATAATTTATGAAATAGATTTTAGAAGAGATAAATTTCAAAGAAAGCGAAAAATGAATTTCAACGTGGATAAAAATGATTTTCAACGCTACAGTAGCATTCTTTTGTCCAATCACAATAGCCAAAGGTTAAAGATACTTCGAAAAGAGAGTTAATTAATTGTTTTCATGAATTTTGAAGAAGAAAGAAAACAACATGCCTCCCTACACACAATTTAGAGTTTTATAACAAAGTTTTTAAATAAATTTAATGGTAAATTCTTTTAGAATCAGGAACTTTCTGAAATTGAAACATTTACATTGACAAGCCATATTCTGTAAGAACATGCCTGTCCGTGGACAGTAGCTGGCAGTCACGAACAGTAATACCAACTCCGACAGTTTACATTGTTCCTGTTCTTCATCACACTCATCACTGACACTACCAATCAAATGGATTACATTTACAAGGAGTGCAAACTTCCTCCTTCATCACTGGGGAACAAACTCCATAGGCCACCTAACAAAAAAAAGAACAACAGAGCCAAATTGAATTAGTTTTAACTAAAATGGATGGTCCAAGAAACGACTAAATTTTTTGTGTTGTTTGATAAACTAATGTTTTCATACACATAATTTAATTTTTATAAATTTAATGAAATAGATTTTTAAAAATTTCAACGAAAAGATTCTAAAACAAATATTGTAATATTTTGGTACAAATTCAGATGGACAGACTCACATGATGTCAACTGCATCCTGGTCACATCTAGGCCCAGTAATATCCAAGGTTTTGGCAAATGGCATGCTTACTCTGTATTGTGGGCTTAACTTGCGCAGGTAAGAGCAAAAGGTTGCGATGGGGACTAGGGAAGGGACATGGTTGGCAAGGTCCTTATCTGGGTTTCCATAGAACCATTTGCACAGCCGCTGCCACAATGTGGTCTCCAGTGTTATGAGAAAATGTCTGTAAAATTCCCACTAGCTCTTCAATATACAGAAAATGTGTGTCTGTCAACTGCAACACTTCATTGTTTTAATTATTTGTTCCACTAACATACCTTAAAGATCAATTTGACAAAAATAATAAACTGAATAGTTTGTTTAACAAAATACAGTAAACAAGAGAAAATGTAGAATGTCTGGCAAAG